GAGGACGCCCAAGTTGCGAGCCCTCTCCGTGGGGGCCAATGATTCGCCCCCAATAGTCAGTGATGGCGTCAACTGCCTATATCGGGACGTCGGAAACCACAGCCACTCGGTCTTGGATGGGTTGAGCCTGAGCCTGTTCCTCCCCATCCAGATCCGTACGGCCTCCAGGCACCGGGACATCACTTCAAGGGCATCGTTGGGGTGATCCGGGGTGGAGATGTACAGCTGGGTGTCGTCAGCGTACTGATGGTACTCCACCCCGAAACCACGGATGATCTCGCCCAGCGGCTTCACATAAATGTTGAACAGGAGAGGCGAGAGGACCGACCTTTGCGGCACCCCACATATGAGGGGCCTCGGGGTCGACCTCTGTCCCCCTGTCAACACAGACTGCGACCGGTCAGAGAGAAAGGAGGAGAACCACCGCAACACAGTGCCTCCCACCCCCAACTCTTCCAACCGGTGCAGCATGATACCATGGTCGATGGTATCAAAAGCCGCTGAGAGATCTAACAGGACCAGGACAGAGGAGCACCCCCTGTCCCGAGCCCTCCAGAGATCATCAACCAACGCGACCAATGCCGTTTCCGTGCTGTACCCGGGCCTGAAGCCCGACTGGAATGGATCCAGATACGTCGTTTCATCCAGGTGCTGGGGGAGCTGTTGCGCAACCACACTCTCAACAACCTTCGCCACAAAACGAAGGTTGGAGACCGGACGATAATTTACCAACATTGCCGGGTCCAGGGAAGGCTTCTTGAGGAGAGGCCTCACCACCGCCTCTTTCAAGGCGGCAGGAAAGACACCCTCACCCAACGAAGCATTTATAATCCCCTGGAACCAGCCTCGTGTCACCTCCCGAGAAGCCAGCACTAACCAGGAGGGACACGGGTCCAATAAACAGGTGGTCGCGTTCAGTCTACCCAGAATCCTGTCCACGTCCTCAGGGGTCACAGGATCAAACTCATCCCAGATAACATTCTCAAGACCTGCCCCAGTCTCTCCCCCTGAGACTACCCAGTCGGAGTCCAGATCTTCCCGAATCTGAGTGATTTTGTCATACAGATACTGAACAAAATCCTCGGCTCTACCCTCCAAGGGGTCCTCCCGCGCTTCCTGGTGGAGCAGGGAGCGGGTCACCCTAAACAGGGCGGCCGGGCGATTATCTGATGACGCAATAAGAGCAGCAAAATAGTTACATTTCGCTGCTTTTATTGCCACTAGGTAATTCCTAATATGAGATCTTACCAGTGTCCGGTCAGATTCAGAAAGACTGGCCCTCCAACTGCTCTCTAGGCATCTTTTCCGGCGCTTCAACTCCCTCAGCTCCTCAGTGAACCAAGGAGCTAAATGAGATCGGCACCGGGTCAGAGGCCGCAAAGGCACGACTCGGTCCAGAGCTCCAGCGGCCGCCCTATCCCAGGCGGCCACTAGGTCTCCAGTCGAGGCGTGTGCCAGAGCCTCAGGGAATGGCCCAAGCTCCATCTGGAACCTGTCAGGTTCCATCAGGCGCCTGGGGCGGAACCATCTTACCGGCTCCGCCTCCCTGCGGCGGGGTGTAGCGGTTCGAAGGTCGAGACAAAGGAGAGAGTGATCAGACCATGACAAGGGCTTGATGACTATATCCCCTATCTCGAGATCACTCAACCACTGTCCAGAGACAAAAACCAGATCCAGCGTGTTTCCCCCCGTGTGGGTAGGGACATGAATTAACTGGGTCAGGTCCATGGCTGTCATGGAAGCCATGAACTCCTGAGCCACCTCTGACGCCTCACCCACGGACGGCAGGTTGAAATCCCCCATGACCATAAGCCTAGGGGTATCAACCGCCACCGCGGCGATGACGTTGAGTAGCTCAGGCAGGGCTGCTGCCACGTGGCAGGGAGCCAGGTACGTGATCAGCAAACCCCTCTGAACCCCGTGACCCCATTTCACAAGGAGGGATTCACAGCCGGCCGTCTGAGGAACAGTGGCCTCCCTCGGTCTCAGGCCTTCTTTAATGATAACCGCTACCCCCCCGCCCCTCCCCTGTGACCTTGGCTGATGGAATGCGTGGAAACCTGGTGGGCACATTTCAACGAGGGGAACCCCCCCCTCCTGGCCCAACCAGGTCTCCGTAATACCTGCCAGGTCCGCACCCCCCTCCTGAATAAGATCACAAATGAGGGGGGCTTTATTTACTACGGACCTGGCATTGCACAGCATCAGCCGAAGTCCTGGGCCCTGAGGGTCTATGCAACCTGGAGAACGGGTGGAGCCTAGGGGGCCGGAGCATGCCACCGCTCGTAGACAGCGGGTGCGCGCTCCCCTAACATGATATGGCCCCCTGCTCCCGCCATATCTACCCCTCCCACTCACAGTACTGATGTTTGAGACACTATCCGGATGAGCTCTAACACCCCCCTCGACCCCAGGTCCCCCACCCCCCCGCCGCACTTCGAGGCCAGACCGAACCCTCCCCCTTGTGGGTTTTCCCCCAAACCCACAACCCGAGTTCTAATTCGACCCTCCCCCTCCCTGGGACCCCTTAAAAGTTTAATTAAAAAATTTGATAAAAAACCCCACAACCCCCTGGTTTTCACATGCCACCTCTCTGGGTCCCAAAACCCATCCTTGAGGTAGGCTCTTGATAATGTGGAGGGCCAGATCTGCGAGAGGGGGGAATCTCGCAGCGCAAGAAGTTCATAAGTAGTATACATCTTAGGTTACAGCGAGGGAGGCGGAGATCATAATCAGGGGTCCATTTGGTAATCCCAAAATCAGATGTAACACACAGCCATGCGGCTCCACCGGTAAATACACTGTCCTCTCACGACAGTTTGAGGGGTCTTTCACAGTTTCAGCCAACGGAGAATGACATCCAGCCCGCCCTCTCACGGCGGGAGGCCCTTAAATAGCCCAAGAGATAGAAATGCTCCATCCAACCGGTGGTGAATTCATGATGTAAAAAGACGACCCCCTCAGTGGTTGCCACAATGGATTGTCCCAAGGTTGGAGAGAATGATTTATAGTTTAGTCAGTCAGTTCATCCGGGGGTTAAGATGACAGTCCCTGCTCTTTATAGTCGCACCAATAGGATAGTTCCAGTAGGAGACACAAAAACATACAGGGGAAGGGGAGGGGAGGGGGGGAGAAACCCCTTTCCCTGGGGCCAGATGGTAGCCCATTTCACGGCCTAAACAAGGTCCGGGAGGGAGGGGGGGCGGGGGGAGAGAAGGGCTGGCATCAATGCAACAGGAGGAGAAATCCCTCCCCCGGCCACCAGCCCTTTCTCCTCCAGTTCTTCCAAGTAAAAAACCCCCAGTTCTTCCTGGTAACATAACCCAATGCCATGTCCCAGCCTCCAGTACATTTCTCGGAGGCCTCCAGGTCCTCTGCAGCCGCCAGGATCTTCCTGAAGGGGTCTCTCACTACCCAAAGCCAGAAACTGGCTGCTGGAATCCCCTCTGTCGCTAGCCCCGCCATCAAGGCCACCATTGCCTTCGTCTCTCAATGCCTCTAGCAACGCTGCTAGCAACGCCGCCGCTGCCGCTGCCGTCGTTCTCGCACAGCCGGTAAGCCACCTTTCTCCCTTCTCAGCTGGGACGCGGCAGCAGCGTGGTAGCAGCAGGGCTGCTATTCGGTCGACTCCGGGTGAACCCTGAGGGGCGAGAAAGGTCTCAAAATGCTCACCCCAGTCTCATCCAGCCAAACGGGGGGTCGTTGATGGTCAAGACCCCCCTCGACACCCCAAAACGTCCAAAAACGCCCCCATCTAACCGCAGCACTCAGGGAGCGGCCGCCATCTTGCGCATGCTCAGAGGGAATTCTGTGTTTTGTTATCTTTGTTATTCTTTGTTATCTTCTTTGGACTTTGTATTTGAACTTTGTATTTGAGTTTCCTGTTCCTATGCAAGAGTCATAAATAGGAATCAGTTGCCAAGCATCTGAATTTTGATCACCTGACCACAGGTATGCTGCAGTGATTGTAAGTGTGAAAAATGGTCCTAAGTCACTTTTTCATAAATCTCCAGGGAAATGGACAGTAGAGCCACCCTGAAATGAGTACAGTAAGGCAGTACTTACAATAGTTCATTTAATGACCAAAGTTACAATGGCGGTGAAAAAGTGACTTAGGACCATTTTTCACACTTACAATCACTGCAGCATCCCTGTGGTCAGGTGATCAAAATTCAGACGCTTGGCAACTGATTCCTATTTATGACTGTTGCAGTGTGTGTGTGTGTGTGTGTGTGTGTGTGTGTGTGTGTTACATGATCCCCTTTTGTGACCTTTTTACAAGCAGAGTCCACGGAGAAACCAGATTCGCTGAAGGACAGTGTTAATTCACTTAAGAACTGCAGTGACTCACTTAACAACCATAGTTCTATGGAGATTCTCAGTCACCCAGGCTTATAGTTGTCCCAAAGGTGCTTTTTCTTTTTTTTAATAAACACTTTATTAAACTTTTATTACATTAAAAACATAAAAAATTATTTCACTCAACAACAGCTAATTGTGGTGTTTTTCTTGTGACAATAATTCGTGCATTATTTACAAAAATTAAATTGTGCGTATTTATATTCAAAGGTGCTTTTTCCAAGAGGCAAGTGGACTTTCTGGTTTTTCTTTGGAAGACCTTTCGCTTCTCAGCCAAGAAGCTTCTTCAGCCAAGAAGCAAGAAAGAAACTGGGAAACTGGGGCAAAAATTCATTTAACAAATATTTCGTTTGGGCTCAATTGAGGTCGTAAATCAAGGACTACCTGGACTGGCTAGAGATTGAGGCAGGGCTGCTCCCCGAGGCGCTCTTGGGAGACAATCCGCTGGTACCTCGCAGGAGCAACCTGGCGTCCTCGTCCCGCCGAAAACCCTGCACGGGAACGGAGGGAAAGAGAGTCCCACCTCCTCGTCGACTCAGAGACCCACGTTCACGAAGAAAAAAGGCGGGGAGGATTGAACTCCTGGTTGCGGGACCTGGATCCTCCTCCCAGCTCGTGGAGGAGCCGAGCGAGGGCTCTCGCACTTCCTTTTCTTACCGCACTTTCCCTCCTCCCGGGCGACCCGAGCGGCTCCGCCTCTCCGCCCGCCTCCTCCTGCCCCTACGGAGGAGGGCAAGAAATAGCCCGGGCCTTGGCCCGTGCTGGAGCTGCTGCTTTATTTATCCCTTCGGACCTTCTTTCCCCGGGGTCGGGAAAGGGGCAAAGTGAGGCTGCAGTCCCATTCTGACAGAGGCTGCAAGGAGGGATTTGGAAGCCCAGCCGCGCGCTCTCTTCTCGTCGTCCCGCTGCTTTGCACGGCGCCCCTCCGGGTGTGCAGCCGCCGCCATGAGATTGCTGCGGGCGCTGCTAAGGAGCGTCTCCCCGCTGAACACCATCCCTCAGCAGGTGGATTTCTACTGCCGCTTCTCCCCGTCCCCGCTTTCCATGAAGCAGTTCCTGGATTTCGGTGAGTGGCGGCGGGGTCGCTTTCCTCCCCCCCACACGGCCCGGGTTGCTCCTCCTCCTCCTTCTCCTCTGCGCGGCTCCTTCCTCAGCGAGTCTTTTGCGCCCCCCCCCCCCCCCCCGGCCGACCCTTTTCTTTCCCCAGAGGGAGAACCGCCACCCCTTCTCTGCGGGGGAAAAGGCGCTTCCACCTCCCCCGAAGGCGGCGAGCGGAGCGAGGCCTCGTGCGGAGGCTGTGCAGCCGAAGCCGCCCCTTCCCGCTCCAGCTGCGGAGAAGCGTCCCCCCTCCCCCCACTCCACTTCGCCCTGTCGACCCCGTTTCCTTCTCCACGACTTCTAGGGACACGCGTTGTAGAGATGGAAAAGGAGATTGATTGACGCGCCCCTGACCCCCCCCCCCCCGAAATGCACCTCAAAAGTTGTGCTTACCAAAGGCGTTGTGCAACGGAGGGTGTTGCCACGCAAAAGAATCTAGAGACTCACGGTCTGGGGCTATGGTGTCTCACGTTGCTGCCCCGATAGTTTTGGGCAGTATGGGTTATTGCACGTCTTACAATGCTTCGTTTAGTGACTGTTCCAAGTTACAACGGCACCAAGGATTCCTCAGTGAAAAAAAGTGACTGATGACCGTTTCTCTCACACTTAGGTAAACAACCATTGCAGTGACCTCCTGGGCATGTAATCAAAATTCTTGGCAACTGACTCATATTTATGACCGTTTCAATGTCCCGGAGTCATGTGAACCCCTTGTGTGACCTTCTGACAAGCAAAGGCAAAAGGGAAGCTGGATTCGCTTAACAACCATGTTGCTAATTTAACAACTGCAGGGATACACTGGACTGTGGCAAGAAAGGTCGTAAAATGGGTCCCAATTCACTTAATGATTCACTTAACAACAGAAATGTTGGGCTCAATTATGGTCGTAAGTCGAGGACTACCTGTACCCAAATTCCATTTGACACTGGTGGCTGGAGTTTGAATGAGTCTGAAAATAAGGAACATTTGGCAATGCTAAGGTCACAGCTGGTGCTTTTCAAGGGCAAATCTTCCAGTTTAAAAGACCATTCCATTTTTCCAGAGGATTGTTATTTACAGGTTGTTACCTTAGCATTTCATAGTTTTGAAGTTCTGTCTTAAGAGGTGGATGTGCACGTCTGTGTGTATAAAAATGTGTGCTTGGGTCACACATATTTGTCCACATACATCCTTAGTGATTTTTCTTTTTTTAAATAATTGTTACTTTAGCTAAATGATAGGTCTACTACTCTACCTAATATTGCTTAAGAAATTATAATATTCCACTGTATTAATATGCATAGAGCTAACTACCAGTACTGTATAGTGCTAAGATTACTCAGAATTACTGTAGGTTCCATTTCACAATCCGAAAGAATATAGGGTTGTCTTTGGATATATTTTTTCCCAGCAGTATTTCTCAAAACTACAACTTCCATTTGCTTCAGTATGTTTGTTTGCGGTGACAGGGCTGATAAGTTATAGACTAGCAATGTAAGTCTTTCTTGTGCAGTATTGCATGAAAAAAAAAATTGGAGAAACCCTTGGAGTCAAAAAAATCATAATTCTTTTGGTTCTACCAAGTGTGAATTCTACAATGTGACTAGAATTTCTACTGAACTTTAATAAAAATATCTAATTGGATATTGCACTGATCACTATAAATACTGTTATTTAGCTTTAGATGTTTTAATACATATGGTATTGGTATCATAATCAAAGCAATCAGATATTTACACCGAAGTATCCTGCATATGTTTTGCATTGAGTAATAACCAGTACAGGATACAGAGCAAGGTTCAGTTTATAAATTGAAAATTCTGTTCTCCCATTATCTCCTAACCCTAATCCTAAATGTAGGAGTAGCTGATGAAGCCCTGCACTTTTCCTGCATTATCTCCTACATCTTCCTTTAAGGATATCATCTTTAGGAGTGGTGCCTTCTGAGATGGCTTTTGAAGTCAGATATCACTGTTACCTCATCATCATTGCAACACTGAAGATCCCAGCTTGAAATGATTATTACAGAACATTCAACAGGAATAATGAGCCAATTTGGGGGGGGGGGGGGGGCGGGAAGGGGGCTGAACCAGATTCTCTGGCTGGGAGAGGAGAAAGCAGATCCTGGGCCAGTTCACCAACACATCCCAGTTTGCAATCCAAAAATGCTATTTTGTTCTACCTGATGGTAGGACTGATCTGTTATTCGTGTTCTATCAGGGAGCAGGTATTTTTAAAACTTCTCAACATTTTTCTTCTCTCTTTCAAGTAGCCCCTGAAATGATATTCCTTTCAAATTATTTGTAGACTTTGCCACAAAGCTATACTCAACTGAAGACTTCTGATATGCTTTGATTATCTCTTTCCCATCTTGATTCATCTGTATCAAGCCATTGTTTTCTTCAGAAAGGGCTGTGCTCTTCAACTTATGATCACAATTGAGTCCAAAATTTCTGTTGCTAAGTGAGACAGTTAAGTGAATTTTGCCCTAATTATATGACCTTTGTTGCCACAGTTGTTAAGTGAATCACTGCAGTTGTTAAGCTAGTAACATGGTTGTTAAGTGAATCCGGCTCCCCGATTGACTTTGCTTGTCAGAAGATCTCAAAAGGTGATTACATGACCCTGGGACATTGCAACGGTCATAAATATGAGTCAGTTGCCAAGCATTTGAATTTTGACCATGTGACCACGGGAATGGTGCAACAATCGTAAGTGTAAAAACGATCATAAGTCACTTTTTTCAGTGTTGTTGTAACTTTGAACAATCACTAAAAGCTGTTGTGAGTTGAGGACTATCTGTAGTGGAGAAGAAGAATTTAGTTTTGCAATATCTTTCACTGATCCTTAGCGTCTTCAAAAAAGAATAGTTTAAAATATCTAAAAAGCCGCAATCAGTAACATAAAATGTTATGTGTCTTGAACTTTAATGTCATGAATGTTAAGAATCCAATGTGGTCTTCGTGGGAGACCAAGCCACATCAGTCTGTCTACTACTACAGTTCTGAACATCGGGTTACTACTTTCTGAATTTATGTAAACCTATATTTACTGTAATGATAAAATGTTTTCCAGGATTTCATAGAGAAGCTGTTATTATTTACCAGCCCATGATCCTGAATGAACTGCGTAATGAATTGTTTATAATCTATTTACTGTGGTTTCAAAATTGTTTCCTTATGACATTTTCCCATAGGATCTGACAATGCTTGTGAGAAAACCTCTTTTATGTTTCTGCGACAAGAGTTGCCTGTAAGATTAGCAAACATAATGAAAGAAATAAGTCTGCTTCCAGACAATCTTCTTAAAACACCTTCAGTTCAGCTTGTTCAGAGTTGGTAAGAACCTGTTTCTTTTTTAAACAAAGCCCCATGAAACCAAATTTGAACATTTTACAAAGATATGTGAAGATTCAAAATATTAGAAGCTAAGACTTATGGTTGGTTATAAGGTGCCTAATAGCATCCATGCACTGATCTAACACAGTGAATAGACATCTGGCTTGTATTTTCTCCCTCACCACCTACATAGCTCTGTGCCAGAGGCAGGAGATACCAACACTAGTCATGAACTCACAGCCCAGACTCCTAACATATCATCATCTGTCAACCATCATCCTTTACTTGAAGAAATCCTAAGGGCAAACATCTTGCCCACATACACAACTTCATCTTGTGGTTTCTGAGCCTGACTTCAATTAATATTAATATTTATAAAACGAGACCTAAGCATCAAAGCATGATGCAAATGAAAAGTCCTAGCTGAAGAGAGAACATAGAGACGCTTATCTCATTCTGTTTTTGTTTTTTCTGCTCAAGCATATTGTGCTAAATTGGCAGCAATAACATTACATAGTGTTCCGTCCTTCCTAAATTGTTCAAGAAATCAGATTTGGCCTATTTGAATTAATGATACCATCTGGTTGATCTCTGTACCCAATTATCTTTAGAGTGCTGCATGAATGTAAACAGTTAATTTAGTAAAGCTTATTTCCAAGTGAATGGACATAGCACTGTAACATTTGAAACAGGTTTTGAATAATTTTTAGAAAGTGGGCCTTTATTGTAGGATGGAAACAAATTTACATGATGAGAAAGTAAGGATTTGCAAAAGGAAGGGGAAACCTGGAAAAAATGCTTCCCTTTCCTTTTGAAGGAGTTTTTGATTTATTGGAGGCCCTTTTATTGTGAGGAAAAAAATCTTCACTAGTGGGTGGCTAGAATATAGAATGGTAAAGCTAGGAAGTGTTTTACTTTTCAAAATCCATGTCCTACTACTATTACAAATAGTAGATGTCCTGCTCCTTGCTTGGGGTAAGATATAATGGGCATTCATACACACTTGTAGAAATGAATAGTATTTATTGTCTTATATATGAAGTCTATTAATAATAAAAATTTGAAAATTATCTCTTGTTAAAAAAATTAGAATGTGCTGAATTTTGAAAGTAGTCATAAAAATATTATGTTGGCAAATTCATATTCTTGTCCTTATTAGGTGAGAAGAAATTATTTATTTTTCTTTATAACAAAAATCAAACATGGAGAAATTATGTTTTTAGGTATGTGCAAAGTCTACAGGAGATCCTTGATTTTAAAGACAAAAATGCTGATGATACAGAAGCTATTTCTCGGTGAGACATTTTGGACTTCTCAAAGACAATGCATTATCTAAGTTAGTCTTGTAGCATGAGACATTCAGAACCATAATTTTATTATATTTGTTTTATTATATAGATCTCAAAAAATAGTGGAATATTAAATATGAAGAAAAATCTCTTAAATAATTTCTTTGTAAGTTATCAGGGGGGCTGTCTAAAAATAATAAACTTACAAAATAAATTCTACTCTATGTAATTCATTTAGAATTACTTCTGTATTAAAATTAGGAAGGTTTGACCTACATGTACAATGTTTTTGAGTTCAATTGATTAGTCTCTTAATTTTTCTTTAAGGGTTATTAATAATGAAGTGATTTAGTCTTATTTTGAGTTTATCCATTGAAATTAGTGGATTTGCTTAGAATTCGAGTAACTTAATTTTAACGGCTCTGCTTCAATTTACTAGCTTCAGATTCAACCATAATACCATTGTTCTGTCCAAAACCTGCATGTCAATCACAGACAGTCATCCTTAAGAAAAAAATCTTACTTAGGTTGAGACTTATTGAGGCTTAGGTTGTAACTTCTACATTGTTACTTCTATTGTCATGTATTTATAGCAGGGGTCTCCAACCTTGGCAACTTTAAGACTTGTGGACTTCAACTCCCAGAATTCCTCAGCCAGCTTGGCTGGGAATTCTGGGAGTTGAAGTCCACAAGTCTTAAAGTTGCCAAGGTTGGAAACCCCTGATTTATAGCATGTTGGGGCATGCTAGCTGTGAAGAGATTAAATTATGCTTTTCCAAGGAAATGGCCCTTCTTAGGCTACATAATCTCTCAGAGATGAGATAGATTATTAGGAGGATAGTTTATCTGTTAGAATTTGAACAACTGCTGAGTTGAAAAATTCTAATGGTGTTTTGTGTTAAAAGAATTGTGAGATGCACTTTGAAGGAAGAAATAGTGGACTGAGGACAGCTCTGCGAAAAACAGAGCCAACAACTATAGCAAAGAATGTATATTGGCTCTTTGAACCTCTCTGTCAAAAGAAGATGGGAGATCACCCACAAGTACTCCAGACAGTGAGGAGTGTTTTGAGCACTGGAAGATGAGGAAATAGCCATCTTGCTCAAACCAGAGTTGGTGTCTTTAAAAGGACACTAAGTTTGCATGTTTCCTTTAGTAATCCTATTCCAAAATTGCTTATTAATTACTCTGCACATATTTAACAAGATCAACAAGTCTAAAAATACTGTGTGACTGCTTTCAGCCCTTATTGAAAGAAAATTTTAACTCTACCTAAGAGTTAAGAAGCTTAATTTCTTTAAGCTTAAGAACTTAAAATAATTGAAATAAACAGCAAAAAGCTAATTAAGATTTTGATTTTAGAAAATTATAAATGGATTAGGAGTTCAGATAAATTTGAAATAAGATTTGGAATTAATTATAAAGAGTCCTTCCCATGAGTAAATCAACTTGTTTTGAATTTTCTCTACATGACAGAGAGAAAAAAATTAAAAATTGGACTTTTGAAAAAATGGAATTGGAAGTAAATATCAATAAATACAGATATTTGCATCAATAAATACAGATGTTTGCTTCTATGGATAAATTGTGCCTGAAAGATGTTTTGGAAGAAATGATAGAAGTTTTATTTGACAAAGTGAAATTGAAAGTGCACTTTTGCTTTCTGTTAGCTTTCAAATTCCTGCTGACAGAGAAATATCTGCGACCTCTACAACCTACCACTATCATTTCTCCAAACATAGAGAAAATATTCATAGGACTACTGAGAGAAAAAGAAATTGGTATAAAAAACCCCTATGATTGTTGGAAACATCCTGTGAGCTGAGCTCTATGCATTAAATCTCAGCCACTATTTTTTAAGTATCTAAACCAAAGCAGGACATAACCTAAATATAGATGATAACCTTGACCTAAAAATAATTGTGGCTATGCTATTAGAATACCTTGTGTTTAGAAGTCCAAATCCATTTTAAAAGATTGCTTTCTTATACTGTTTTAAACACAACACAATTTTTGTTGATTATAGAATGCCTTCTTTAGTTTCTTGCTTTTGCAGTAGTTAAAATTCGATATGATTTTATGACACGTGTACTAGTATTTTAATACAAATATACCATACTTGGTTTCAGTTTTAAAGATACTGTGATAACAATCCGGAACCGTCACAATGATGTCATTCCTACCATGGCTCAAGGCGTGATCGAGTACAAGGACAACTATGGAGTTGACCCAGTGACTAGTCAGAATGTGCAGTATTTTTTAGACCGCTTCTTCATGAGTCGGATTTCAATCCGAATGTTGCTTAATCAGCACAGTAAGTACTTTTATTAACTTGATGAATTGTTTTTATTGAGTAAGGTCAGAAAACTTTTTGAAGTGAAGGATTCCAATTAGATTTTGGTGAGCCAAGACTCACAGTGGACATAATAGCAATAGCAATATCACTTAGATTAATATACCTCTTCACAGTGCTTTACAGCCCTCTCTAAGCGGTTTACAGAGTCAGCCTATTGCCCCCAACAATCTGGGTCCTCATTTTACCAACCTCGGAAGGATGGAAGGCTGAGTCAACCTTGAGCCGGGGAGATTTGAACTGCCGAACTGCAGCTAGCAGTCAGCTGAAGTAGCCTGCAGTGCTGCACTCTAACCACTGTGCCACCTCGGCTCTTATTATATAATGCTGCTATTGAGACTGCAAAGCTGTATCATTCATGCAAGCAGAGCTGGGGTTTTCTATGTTTTCTTCTTAAGGCTTTGGTGGGAAGCTAAACTATAGTTTTTCTGTGACTCAAAATGGTAGGAAACAGTCATTAGTTCTTCCAGATCAGAGCAGGGAGTCTGGGGGCAATAAAAAGGGCCACAGGATGCCAATCCCTAATGTAAAACAAGTGCAAATACTTTTCTTTTATGAATAAAAAGGAATCTTCTATATACATGGCATATACTATAACTTAGTATCATCCTTGTTATGAAGTAGTAAATCCTTGTCCATTGTTTTTGTTCAGTCATCATCTCCCTACCTATAAAATATATGCTGTTCATGGCCTCTTTATTGTGAAATCATTTATGTTACTTTGTTTTTGTTGTTGGCAGCTTTGTTGTTTGGAGGAAACGTTGAAGTTAATCCAGCACATCCCAAACACATTGGAAGTATTGACCCTAAATGCAATGTTGTTGAAGTTATAAAAGGTACATTCAGACAGACATGGTGAGAAAAATAAATGTGGCAAGAAACAGCCTTTCTGGGCTGCTGACTTCGTACAAGCTCCTTCTGTCAGACATGGAAAGTTTCTATTCTGCTGAGACATGATGTTTACCCTTGAGATGTCATTCTGTGTGTAAAAAACAATACAATTTTATCCAAATTTTGTAGTAATGACCTAGTATTTGGGAGACTTTTATTTGGTGTTCCTATTGCCATTAATTTAATGTAATATATTCTTTAATGTAATTTTTATTCTAAATTGCATTTTGAAAAATCAAGGCAGGTATCAAACCATACCGTTAAAAGCTAGCAAGCACCAATGGAAAATACTTCTGAGTAAATATGCATAAGATCAGGCAATTATTGGGCTATGTTTAAGGGTGGAGCCATTTATGTTTCCCCAAATCACTAGCCTTCCAAAAAGAAGGATTACTCTAAAATGCCTGATAGAGGAAGGACAGTGTGCAGCATCAGAATTCCCAAGGATATGGAGATGGAAAATTCCCTCTTCTTACAACACAATGATTATTATCCAGGATACAGAATCGGAGATAGTGCATTCAGTCCCTCCTCCATCATCTTAAATCCCTGTAGCTACACATCCTATATGTATTTATAGAATTCAAGAGTACAGAGACTCTCTCTCTGAGGGAGATGAGTGGTTCAAAAATGTGATGAATAGATAGATAGATTTAAAAAATGCTGCTGTTTGTATAATTTTGCTTGGTTGAGTTTGTTGGGTTGAAGGGGAGCTAAGTAGGAAGTAATCAGTGGAGTCCCGTCTTCCGACTACTGGAAAGCTTTGCCATCTGAGATTTGTACCGGACATCTTCCACATGTTTTAAAGTATTAATATAGACTATGCGGGGGATAGATAAATGGTCTTCTATTTGTGCAGAGAATCCAAACATAGACATTGTTCTTGTTGGTAATTGAAGTTAGACAGAACTATGCAAGAGAAATGTCAGCTGCTATTCATAGAATAACAGTAAAAGATGGAATGTGAATGACTGTTTCTTCTCAGAACTCTGTTTTAAGAACTGCTGCCAGCTAATTGAATAAACTCTGGATGGGTGAGGTGTCTGTCTGTGTGTGTTTGTATATATGCATGTGCCTTTGTGTGCATCTTTTAAGCAAAATTGTATTGCTTTTTTCAGATGGTTATGAAAATGCAAAGAGCCTCTGTGACTTATATTATATGAATTCTCCAGAACTTATTCTTGAAGAGAAGAATGGTAAGCATGGAAAGGGGAGGATTGGCTTATTCATTGACTGTTCTTAACCAATTCCTAGCAAGTTTTACCATATCTGTCTACTTTGCCTTGGACTTACTTTAAATATTTCTGTAACAGTAGATAGTTTTTTAGTTGGTTATAGAACTAGCCTGCTTATATTGCAAAGGGCTTTGACTCTATGTCATGAAATTCTAGAATAATTTGATAGAGAGATGGACAATATTTAGCATGTGTTCAGAGTACATCCTATAACAATAACTGTTTGCACATTCTCATTTCACTGCAGAAATTGGTTTTAGGAAGCTAAGTGCAATTATCTGTGTCATGTTTTCAAATATGCCTGTGGGCTATGGCTAGAATTCAGTGTAAAATAATATACTGGCTGAAAATGCACAGCATTCAGTATCAATCAAGCTAAGCCTAAATTAGAGTTTCTCTAACTACATCATACATTCTGTCATACGTTACCTCAAATAGTACAATAAGTGCCAAGAAATCTTTCATTTGCTTTTATTCTTGACATTTTAGGTAACCTTTATTCAAAATGCATTTTGAACTTCTATATCTTGATGTATATGTAGCACTTACTCTCCATTACATTTGGACATCTTATACATCATATGGGGAGCTTTTGGCCTATGAAAAAGCTGCAACAGCTTTCTGTGGTTAGAAGCAGGTATGGCGGTTCTATATGTAATGACCAATATAGGCATATCATAATCCGAATGGATCTGTAGTATGAATTTGCAAAAGTATTTAGGTTGCCTGAGAGATTATATAGTAAGGTGACCAATCGTCCTCCTTTAGGGACGACAGTCCTTCTTTTGTAAGTTCTGTCCTCTCTCGAAAAGTGTCCTCCTTTTCGATATTTGAAGACTAATCTGTAAATCTCCGTATTCGATTGATGCCGATCCGATATGTTGCATGTGATGTGACGTATTTGTATTTGATATGACGATTTGTCAAGACTCGGTACAGTGCAGCAAGATGCGATTATGAGACACATGCGCTCCACACAGGAGAATAGTTTTGAGAGAGTGCGCCATGCACAAGAGTGCACCACACGCAAGTGGCTTTGTTTATTTCTTATTGAAACACGACATGACACGCACGCATTAGACTCATTGTTGCAATGAATATAGTGTTTCTTTTATTTACAATATTTTTTTTCTTCAATTTATTTGTGTCCTCCTTCTCCTTGTAAAAAGTTGGTTACCTTATCTGTAGCATTGTCTTCCTTTTGATCTTTTGGTAGATGGTATTTCAGAAACTATTACTATATACTAGTAATAGTTGCCTTTTTTTTTGTTGAGAATATTATTTGCTTACTAATATGGAGCAGTGCAGTGGCCTAGAAGTGAAGACACTCACCTCCCACTCAGAAAGTTGAGAGTTCAATCCTAGGCAGCAGTAGATGTTTCTCTATCAAGGTGCAAAGAGAAAATTAACTGCTGCAAATTCTGCATAGGCGCCAGGAAGGGCATCCGGTCAGTAAACGCTCAGCTCCATTCAGTCACCCCGACTCTATCCCGAATAAAGATATTAAAGGGTCATAGAAAGGAAAACATTATTTGCTTACTAATGCTTTTGGATTGTTATTCTGGTATTCTTCAGTGTCATTTTAAATGTAATAACAATTTCTATTGCCTATTTGGGGTGTTTGATTGTATTAGTGATTTTATACAGAAAGGTAGATTAAAAATAATTGAAATGCATCAATTATGTATGACTGCAGTATTAATGTAAAGAATTAATGTATAACCTGATAAGTTGCTGTTATTAGCTATCAAATCAGTGTTGACTCTCAGCAACCACATGTACAAATCTTCTCTAGGACTATACAGTATGTCCCCAGTCCGGTCCTTCAGGTCTTCCAACAGTGTGGTTTGTGTTTAAACACATGTAAATGAGACAAGAGCTGTATGGAGTAACTTCATATGAATAATTGCCCTTTTGTAGCTATCATTTCATTTAAATGATAACAAACAGTTTTTGGAGAGGCATAGAACATAAAAGATTATCTAGCTCGAGTAACTACTGTTACATTTTTCTAGTCATTTCTACTGTGTTGTGTAATGATCCTTATTCTTGGTTAGTTTTAACATACATTTTAGCGCTCTGTCTCTCTCTATATGTGTGGGTGTATTGTGCGCACATGCACACACACACGCACAACTACCTCATAATCTGCTATATCTTGAAGATTTATCAAATATGGGTAGCTACGCACAATCACATTAAGAATGTACATGCTGCTGCAATCACTGGGTCTAAAACCAACATAAGAAGACAAATTCTTTTTTTAAAATGTACTTTAAATATCTGCTGTTGAGAACAGAAATTTTCTCAAACATAAGTTTCGAATAACACACACACACACACACACACACACACACACACACACACACACACACGTGTGTGTGTCCTCGACTTATGACCCGGTTTTGAAGTTCTGGTAGCTCCCCCCTAGTTTTGTGGTTGTATTCTGGGTGCTTGACCACATTTATGGCTATTTGCAGCATCCTGCAGACCCATTACTGCGATTTTTTCCATTTCCTCACCCCCCCACCCCAGAAACCAGCATTTTAGTTCCAGTTTCTGATTTTAAAAACCCACCTATTTGGTATAATAATGTGTTTCTTTAATGACTGTGGCATTTGCTTAACAACCATGGTGTTTGTTTAATACCACCACAAAAATAATAAAATCAGGCGTCGTCACGTGACCTGCTTAACTTCCATGATTTACAACCATAATTCCAGGTTGAGTAGAGGATTACATATATATGCACACATGTATAGACTTAAGAGTAAAATGTATTGGGATCCCAACAAACACAACAGTAATTCCACTTGCCCATTTGACTTTTATCTCTCAAATAACAGACTTCCACAACTGCAAGAAAGACTGCTCTTAAGAGAATTTCAGATTGAGTTTGCAGTGTGCGAACTGCAGTGTGAGAGTAGCAACCGGGGGGGGGGAGGCTCCATAACTCTACAGTCTTGTGCGTGTGAACCCTTAGTCAGGACCAAAGTAAATGGATCTTGGTCATCTTTCAGCTATACTGTTGACCCATGGAGAGGCTACCAAGATTAACAGTGGCTGTTGGTGTACAACTGATCTTTTTCGCTCACTTTGTTTTGCAGTAAAATCACCAGGGCAGCCTATGCAAGTGGTATATGTGCCATCACATCTCTACTACATGGTTTTCGAACTTTTCAAGGTTTGTACTGATCTCTTCTATGTACTCTTTTTCTGTTTCCCTTAGTCAGATTATCCAAACATCATAATCTCTCCCTCTAGATTTGTTAAAGAAGCATGCGTGGCGGTAGGGAGAAAGTTTTAAGTTTTTATTCAGTACATGACCTGTACGTTCATAGAAAATCTATTTAGGTGCTCTGCTGAACTTTCTGTCTGATTCTCCTTCAGGAGAACTGCCAGTCTGCTGGCTGCTTCTGAAAATGTGACACACTTTACCTGCACTTTAGAGCCAGGTGTGTGTCTCCACACCCTTATAGATCTCCATTGAGAGTGAGACTGCCTGTGCGTTTGAGAACTTGCAGGAAAGTAGGTAAATAGATAATCCTACATCAGAATAGGAAAGCCACACTGTTATGAGAAGTCAGAATTCCTACATTGCCAAAACAGTTGCTTCCCTCACATTTTGAAAATGAGTCAGATACATTTATGGAATATGCTTTCTTTACTTATTATGCAAAAGTGTACGTAAAGTGACTGTAAATGTAATTTTTTGAAAAATTAGAATGCAATGAGGGCTACCATGGAACATCATGCAGAACGGGGAATTTACCCTCCAGTTCATGTCCAAGTCGCGTTGGGCACTGAAGATTTAACTGTGAAGGTAAAGTATTTAGTCTTAACATTTTCTGTTTCTTAAGTCTGGCAAAAGACTGGCAAAAAATAAAAATAAAAACGTAGGGATCTGTTGCAGAGCCATTGCTTCATTTTTTTTTAATACTCTGACCTGATCAAATGACTATGAATAATTTTACTTCTAGTATTTGATTATTTTTAGCTACCTACAGGTAGTCCTTGATTTACAACTGTTCGTTCTGTGACCGTTCGAAGTTAACAAAGGCACTTAAAAAAGTGAGTTATTGACCCATTTTTCACATTTACAATTGTTGCAGCATCCCCGTGGTCATGTTGTCAACATTCAGATGCTTGGCAACTGGCATGTATTTGTACAGTTGCATTGTCCCAGGATCATGTCATCACCATTTGTAACCTTCCAAGCCGCCTTCCAACAAGCAAAGTCAATGGAGAAGCCAGAGTCACTTGTTACTAAATTAAAAACTGCATTGATTCACTCAACAACTGTGGCAAGAAAGGTGGTAAAAACAAGCAAAATTCACTTAACAACTGTCTGGCTTAGCAACAGGAATTTTGGGCTCAAAATTTTGGTCGTAAGTTGAGGACTACCTGTATAAGTTTTTCATATATTTTATAGATACTTTATCATTTGTGGTTTATTGTGCTTATTATAAATTGCCCAGAATTGCAAGAATAGGTGACATTCAAATAATTTGAGAGTGAAAGAGAAGGGGGTTCAGGTGGGACAGGGTCTTAGACTAAGCATTGCCTCTAAATTTGGGGTGTCAAACTGGCGGCTCGCGGTCCAGATGCATCATGCACAGGCCACGCCCACTCCAGCTCCACAAAGGCAAAAAAGTCACATGACATCAACATGACACGGTGAGTTTGACGCCTGTGCTCTTAAGTATTCAAATGGAAACTATGGACAGAAAAGTCTTTCACCCGCTGCACCATTTTGCAATAGGACCAACCTGGTTACAGTCAATGGATGCTTTATTTGCATCATGCTCTGATTAGCTTTTGTTGCACTTTGGAGATTATTTTTAAGCTTCAATTCATTTACTTTATGTCACTCTTTTATCATATTATTGAATAGTTGAATAAAACATAATTTAAAAACCTTTTCATCTGTTGGAGTAAGTGAGAAGAGTCTGTTGGTTTGTTCACCTAGATCAGGGACTGGTTGTAGGATTGTAATTTGTCGGTTGTTGTTTCTGGAATATATTCTTAAGAATGATTCATTGTATGTAGATATAAGCACACACCAAACATAGGAGCTCAATACTGTATAATGTTTTCCACCCACAATTTAGATGTGCGACCGTGGTGGTGGTGTTCCTTTGAGGAAAATAGACCGACTGTTTAACTATATGTATTCAACTGCACCGCGTCCCCATGTGGAGACATCACGAGCAACCCCTCTGGTTCGTAGTCTGTATCATATTTTACATTATCAGTTGTGGAATGAAAAACTCAAGTCCTCTTTATTTTTCCAGTAGCATTTTTTAAAGTTTATGGTTCCTCTGAATTTGGAAGTTAAAGCATAATGAATTCTGGGACATTCTATATAAAGAAATATATATATTTTTTCACAACCCCTTCTTAACCCCCATAAATAATTTGAAGGTGGTCCATGATTGCATTTGCTTTTGCTCAACTCAGAAATGTTGGGAACAAAGATAAACGAGGTGTGGTCTTGCTTCAAAATTGTTGCAGGTCCTAAAGCAATAAAAAAAATCCCACCCATGCCAATGAAACATTCTCAGTAGTTTAGCACCAGGATCCAAACTAGTAGTAGTTTGGATCCTGGCTGGCTTCCTACTCAGAAAGGAGAGACTGAGAAGCACTTGCCAATCTTAACCCTGCTGATTTTGCCTAGGTTAGAGAGAGACCTGGGTAGCCATTAAGTTTGGTATTATCCTTGCAGCTCCTGAAGTTTAGGAGCTTGGAGGAAAGATGAGGTAAGCATTTTCTCCAGTAGAGAAATAGAGCTGAAGCATCTGCAGATGAACAAAACACTAGGTCTGCGGTAGTTTTAACCACGGGAAATAAATAAGTTCAGCTTTCTGACACTGCTAGTATTGTTGAAACCCCGAGCCCTAGAGCTACTTTGAAACTGGTGCTGAATTTTTGAGTAAAAATCCATCCTGTGGAGTTTTAGGGGGGGAAAAAAAAATTCAAGGAGAAAAATAGAACTTCAATTATGAGCTCAGGAAGATCCCATTTTGGGGCATTTAAGCAGCATGCAACATATTTACTTAATATAAGTGAGCGACAGTCAGTTAAACTGCAAATATTAACAATAGCTTTAAAACAATGTAATGTGATACCAGTTTTAGAAATGAAAGTAAAAAGAACTGAAGCAAAATGATATATCTAGCATTCATACGAAGACAGCTTTGTTATGGGTCTTTACAGGCGCCCACTGCTCTATGAATTTCAGCATTTCAGAGTGAAGGTGCCTGTGCATGAAGATGGCCCACCTTCAGGAGGGCATTTTGGGGAATGCTTTGAGTCTGACTCAGTTGGCAGTCAGTGTAATTGCTTCAGTAGCAGAATAACGTATAGAGCTGGTTAATCATATAGCAATCTGGCTGTTGCATTCTGCACTAGCTGCAGCTTCTGAAAATGAATGCCCTAAAGTGATCAGAACACAAAGCTATTAGTGCATAATCCATTGCAATCATATTATCTTTATTAAAGGAATGGAATCTCAATCTGTCGGTGGAATCTGGTACAGCAAACTTCTAGCAATAGAAATCATTTGGGTGTCTAGGAGCATTCCAAAACTATGGACTGTTTATTCCGAGGAAGCTTAGCTTCATTCAGAACAGGCAGATTCTCCAATTTTTCAAATCCATCATTCAGCAACCCACAGTGCCTATGTTTTGTCAGATTTCATGGGCTCTCATTCACATAATTTCATTTAATTCTTTTTTCGTCCTAGAATTTTCCCACAAGTACAGGGTTTGCCTTTTTTGGATCAACTGAGCGTTGATCCATTCGTTGTGACATAAATTGGCCGGCTGGCTTGCCAACTCAGCCTGTCATCATGGGCTGAGAGAAAGTGACTGCCCCAAAGTCACTGAGATGGCTTTCATGTCTAATGTGGGATTAGAAGTCATAGTCTGCTGGTTTCTAACCTGGTGCCTTAATCCACTAGATAAAGGTGATTTTATTTCTCATTTAAATACTGATTTGATAGACAGCTTTTTGTGGTTTACATTTTAGTGATTCCAAACCCCCAAATTCCTAATAACGACACCAGTAGTTTCAAACAGTGTCCTCAAGGCACCCTTAGGGTAGTTGCTACAATATAGAGGCATGGCCATCTGATGCTGTTCTTTGACATTGTCCTGCAAGTAAGATTAGAATTAATGGAACTCAGTGTCTCCAGTCCAAGAAATAATTCAAGACCAAATAGAAATCAATGGTATCAAAAGTACCCAAGGGATCAAACATGATCAACAGTCAGAATCTTTCTCTTGCAAGTGAATATCTAGGCAATCAAGGCTGAATTTAATTCAAAATCAGACCTGAACCAATCTTTAAAAAGATAGTTGCTGTCCTTTCACTTGTTTGACATTGTGGGCAAATGTCATTTCTCTTTCCTCAATCTCCTCAAAACCTAAAGTTTTGGTTAACTGTTCAAAATCATACTAATTTTTAACTTATTCCTGATAAACCAATTAACCAAATGATCTAGTTGTGTAGGAAATGTGTTTGAGAATAGAGCTCAGGGATCACTTTTGTAATTACAAAACTATTTTATGATGTTTTATTGTAGTTCAAAAAAGGCACAACAACATTTTTCTGAATAGAGCTAGGCTCCAGCTCCTCTTCACTTTAATATTAGCACTTACGGATCTTGAAATAGGTACAGTGTCTTTAAAGACTTGCCAAGAGATCCAGGTGAGACTCCTTGTATGCTCTGAAGCATGCCTCTCCACGCAAATTGGAAGCATTGTGTGGCCCTTGTTACTATTCCTGCATCAGTATGGCCTTGGAAAACAATATTTTGTTTCTGAGCAGTGTAGTGTTGCTCTCAAGTGGGATACAAAGAAGGTTTTGGAAATACTGTGTTCATATTGTCTTGAGAAAAACACAGAAAAACTTCAATCTCATCAAGGCCCTGATAGTTTGGTAGAGCAGCAGTGGATGAATGTACCAGGTTTGCTGTTTGGGGCGGTGTCTGTGTGTGGGGCTGTATCTTTTCAGTACAACTTTTTAAAGACTACTTTTCTATATTACATCTGTATACTTGTTATGTGATGGTGGGGGGAGGAATTATTTAACGTGTTCTTCTGCTTCTAATAACAGCTTAGTCTGTGGGCACTGGCTGATGAAACTTTTGAGATGCAGAGATAATATTATCTTCTATTAATGTTAACAGACATAAATAATTTTACAACCTTATCTGCGAGGTCTAGTAGTCAGCAGCAAAACAAAAATCCAGGCAATCCCTGCCTGGAAATAGCCCCACTATACTCTTTAAATGTTCCTATATAGAACAAGCATTTCCAGAATTATGGAGAAGAGAGGAGGAAAGGGCAAAATGCGAGTTGTGCAAAAATTCCTTGACATCAATGGGAAAAAACACAGAGAATATTATGTCTTCATCTTGGATTGTACCTTCATTTTCTTTTTTGTGGAAAAAGTATTGTTTTGGCCTCTTCATCTGTCCTTTGAGCATTAGATCTGCTTCAGACATTTCAAATTTTCGGTTGTTTTTGTTTTTGGCTTAGGCTGGATTTGGTTATGGTTTACCTATATCTCGTCTGTATGCTCAGTACTTCCAAGGAGATCTGAAGCTCTATTCTCTAGAAGGTTATGGCACAGATGCTGTTGTCTTTATAAAGGTATGTCAGGGACCAGTTGTGGCAAATTCCTTTCAGTTTTAAATACAAAACTTGTTCCTAGCAAGTGATTAACTCCGCCCTTCTTTCTTTTGCTGCAGGCTTTATCAACTGAGTCGGTTGAAAAATTGCCAGTGTATAACAAATCGGCTTGGAAACATTACACGGCCAATCACGAAGCAGATGACTGGTGTGTCCCAAGTAGCGAACCAAAGGACATGACAACATTCCGCAGCACATAGCAGCAGGAGGCCAGGCGTGCTGAGCCAAAGAGGGTCCTGTCACCTATGGTCAGCTTACTTATTAGCACCACTATCACATGTCTAACGGGGAAGGATGCATCTCCATATCCAAACTGGAGTCCGAAAACCATATCATTGCCTAGAGTTTTCCACAGTGTTCATTTCTAACAAGTGGTGTTTTTCCTTCTTTGCATCTTTAAATTACTTCAGCAAATGCACCTTAGATTACTTGAGCAAAGTCTAGAGGACAAAAGACCCGAACAGTGTGTTTAAATATTGTTCTGCTTAACCATCAGTCATTCCAGTGAACAATTCATGGGATGGATTATTTACTTTGTACATCTCCTCTGGGATCAGTTGCACTCGCGCAGCCTTTTGCTCTTGAGGACTTCAGAAGGGCTTTACAATGTGAGAGAAACAATGTGAGCTTATCTCGTTTGTTCATTTTTTTGTATTATGCGGAATTGATTAATTGGTTACTGTCAGCGTAAACAACTCTTTAGCTTTATATTTATAGGTATATATTTACAGCTAGACATAGAAGTGCTTGAGCCTCGTTCATTTTGTTTTGAAAATGGAACTATTTTAAATCTTTGTCACTGAAATAAATGATACTTCAAAGGACTTCAAGCACTTGGCTTGTCCAGGTGTAGTGTTTTCCCAATTGGAGAGAGCAAAGCAGATCTTTTAAGGATGCAGGGCCACCTGTATCCTCAGAAAGGAGGCCGGTCTCTGAGCTACTACCAAGTTAAGTAGGCAAAAGATTGTAGTCTTATTTTCCTCTGAGATATTAATGGAATTTAAAAGTGTATAATTTGGGATGAATTTTCCATTCACATTCAGGGACCTTAGTAAAACCCTTCCTAATAGAATACAACTCGTACACAAGTGTTGCCAAATACAGTTGGTCTCACGGAGTTGATCACAATATGCGAGGTAAGGGTTGCCATATGACTGCAATGAATTAGTTTCTTTTCACATTTATTCTAATATTTCCATAGAACAGTGAGATATAATTGCTTTCTAAGAAAACAAATTGGAACATTATACTGTGTCATTTTATTTATATTGCTTTATGGCATATTTTAATGATTCCAGTTATGTTTTCCCTTTCTGCAAGGCAGATTTGACCAATGACCTAGGTGTTAAAAACAAATTTCATTCCACTGAAATCAGCTAAACACTGGTGTCACTGCTAATCCTTTACTATTGTAGTTACTTAAAGTGCTACTCAAAAGTAAAACCCCATTGCATGAGTAAAGGATGTAGCTTTACTCATTGAAACTGCAGACTTAAATACATTACATCATACTGTGTTTCCCCAAAAATAAGACCCTATCTTATATTTTTTGAACCCTGAAATAAGCGCTTGGCCTTATTGCCATGCACTCAAAAGCTTGATTGGACTTATTATCAGGGGATGTCTTATTTTGGGGGAAACAGGGTAAGTCCCACTGAATATTACTTAGTGGGACACAGAGAAGAAGATTGGCTTAACTCCCTCAGCTGATACTTAGGAAAGCATCATACACACCCTGAGTGATTTGAAGCCCCACACCACTGCAGATTGGGTTTGGGACCTATTTCCCATTTTCATTTCAAGTCAAAAGATAGCTAGAACATTTTTGTCTGACCGACCGAGATGAAAATTTCAGAAGACCATATAAGGAGACGATATATAATGAATTTCAGACCAATCGGTACAGAATGGGTTGTGCGCAAAATGAAACAACATACTTTGAAATTAAAACAAAACCAGCCCCGTTTGCAAAGTGCCTGTTACAGCTTTGAATTTCTCTCATCATGGAGGCTATTGTTGAGCATTAGTTTGTAGTCATTGTACCACTCCTCTTAGAAGTAGGAGGCAACATCCTGATTTTCAATCAGGAATCTTGAAGTAATAATATAATGTACCTACAAAAAATAATTATTGGTCAGAAGATGAAATACTTCCTCTCTTCCAGCAAAATGAGCCCTGGATTGTAAAAAATATTACAGATAGCTAATAAGGACAATTAAAATAGTAAGAGTGCAAAGAAGTTACAGTTACTATATCAAGGGTGTCAAACTCATGTCGTCACGGTGGCGTCACGTGATGTATAGGGACTTTTTTCTCCTTCGCTAAACAGTGGGTGTGGCCAGCGTGTGATACATCTGGTCCGCAGGCCAGAAGTTTTGACAGCCCTGCACTAGATAGATACATAAAATAAGCTTCTTCCTGCAAGTAAAACCATTTACTCAATACTAAAATTAGTTAATTTCCTTTTATTGTGCTTCATTGTGTTCCAGTATGATTTCAATTCTCAAGCTTTTTATTTTTGAAATGCACCTTTTTATATCCCTCATTTTTTTTTTCTATACTTCCCAGTTACTCGGACAGACTGACCCCAGATGATACGCGGTTATCCTTATCTGCAGTTGTGATAGAACATTTCAAATATTTGATGGAACAAAACTTAACCTACTGTGAATCTTATTCCTATAGGGAACAATGGCAGTTCGAATTAGTTTCCTTGTTTAGTCTTGGAACCACCAAAGAAAAGGTGGTGGCAGTCTTACCAATAGAGAAAATAGCCATGTTTAAAATGTTATTTAAAACCTGTAACCAATAATGAAAACGGATCGTTCAGCATAGCCATAGAACAGAGCCCAGTGAGGAAGCACCATCAGTGGATTCAGGTCAGCCATTCATGGAAGAAAGGCAACAAAATAACAAACTCCTCCATAACAAGGAATTTTTAAAATTCATCATGCTTACCTATCTTCCTTATGTCCAAAATAAATCTCATTTATCGACTTGCCCATAAACCAACCTCCTTTGCACTGGTTCCCTCCTGTTCAAATAGGTCTGGACAATAGCAGTGATAGATCCTGTGCCCCTTGCTCTATGAACTACTGCCTTCGTTTATAAGCCCATGTTTGGGAGAATGAAAGAAAAGGTAGATCAAGGGTGTCAGAAGACTCGTTTGGAAAACAGGCCTTTTTGTTCCATGTTTAGCAAACTTGAAAAAGCTGCTTTGAGTGCAAAGCATTTTAAATGTCTCAGTGCAAGTGTTTTTCTGAGCACTTTACATTCTACTTTTATTTTTTTTTTAAATGGAATTTGCTGATCACTTCTAGGCTACTTGGTGAAATTTCTTGGAAAAAGGGTTCTGAGAGCAGCCCTGTTAAATTCCTTATGAAAAGGTTTGGGCGGTTTTGTGGAAAAATAGTGTTTCTATTTGAGTTTTTTCTCCTGTAGGCAGTGGTTAGAAGAATAATGGAGAGCCTATAGAGATGGCAACAAAAGAACACCCCTCTCAATTACAATGCTTAAGGCCATAAACCTTAACCCATTTTTACTTAAGAGAAAGCCTTAAAACATGACAGTGCCAACGTATGTATGGATTTTAGATGATCAAGAAAATAGCAGACTAGAGCTACCTTTGTGTTGGGAAACTTTACATTTCCTCTATCAAGAAACTAAATGTACTAAATCACAGGATAAGATTATCCTTTCAATACCGGTTGATCAGTGCTGGTAGTTTTCAAATAAGCTACAGTACATAGTAAGTCTACATTACGGAAATAATCATTGTTGGAAGAAAATAATTCATTACATGAATCATCAATCAGGAGCTTGATAGATGGATTTGGCCCTTGAAAAGTTAATTTTTCAAGCTCAGGTGTCCATTTGAACCTCAAGAAAATATGATCTGGGGCAAGGGACCAGAGAAAGACTGTATTAGTATTATCTATCCTTGAATGAATTACAAATGTTAACAGCCATCAAGTAAGCCTATGGTCTGATAATCCAATAATGAAATTTGCCACGTGCCAGACTGCAAATGATTCAAATAGGTTTAACAGACACCACTAGATTTGCATATAGGCCTTGGGATATATGTATATTTTGTCCTTACTGAAATGAGATGGTATTGGGTGTTTGACAATTCATATTACTGAAAGTTTATAGAAAATAATTGTTTATGCTACAAAGTGGATTTATTTGCTGTTATTTTGAAGTTTGATTTCTATTAACACAGTATTTAAAATAATGATGATAATAGTACACCTTTATGGGAATTTCTCATATTGATAGTACTAGATAGAAAAATCATTGTCCTCATAGTTGAAAAGTAAAATGGAAAGCAATCACATTTGTTTTTAAAATATTAGTCTTGTACTATGAAAAGTTGGATTTGTAAGAAAATGACACTAATTTTTGTAAAAAATAATAAAGTTTGACTTTTTTTTTAAAAAAAAGGCCTACAGCGTATTGAATGGGTGACAGTTCCTGTTTCAGATGAATTTTCAATTCATTCTGGTCACAAGAAATGTTTGTAGTCTACTTCTCTGAATATATGTGACTATGGACAAGAGAACAGAAAGAAATCTCATCCCAAAAGGTTCAGAGACAAGTTAAAAAAATTTTTTAAATCTGATCTCAGTCCAGGTAGTGGACAATCAGACTCTGAGCACTCTGAATGAAGTTTTTGTCATTTGAGTTTTCTTATTGTCTCTGTCAGCTACCCAGACCAAGAGATCGAGTCAATACAGTTAGTCAAAGCAACGTCATGTCTGGTATTATATAATTTCAGAAGTTTCCTGTGATTAACTGTGTCATAAGCAGCAGATAAGCCATAAAAACAGCTCCTGTGATTAGACTTGAAAGTCATCCTCTAAATGCTGGACAAGTTTAAGTATCTGACCTGTGCAGAAACCAGTTTTTTGGGAAATAAAAGTTGGTTCAATAACAGGAAACATTCTGCTTATTAGAACTCTTTCATAGAGTTTAAAGGGATGGCAGATGAGGAAAGTTTTACAAACATTTTTTGGATTTGTTTGGTTCTTTCCCAGATTTCAAAAATTCAATAACCTGGGCTTTCCTCCAGATCATTGGAATACACTTTTGAGGCCATACAAGTATTAAAAAGTGATAACCATTGCTTATTAAAATTGTCATTTTTAAAAATGTGTTCAACACGAATATCATTCAATCCCATTCTTCATATCTTGAATTACTGTTTCTGGTTCTTCTCTATAAAAGGATGAGGTTAATACACTGGCCTCCCCTTCCATTGCCCTTGGAACAATGCATTTAAGTCTCCCCTTAACCCTGCTGTTTAACAACAGCTGATGAGCTATTTGGTTTGCCATGATGCTCTTACATTGACATGAATTTGTTGGATCATTATTCAGACGTTTCAAGTCTCCAACCCTTCTAGCTATTCTTTGTCGAATCATTTGATTCCAGGTTGGCGTTCCATTTCTGCAAGGAGTGCCATTATCACCAGCTTCAATTGTTTCTTCAGAGTGGGTTTTCTTCAAATATTCTAGAATAGTTATTAAAATGAGGCATAATATCTGGGGAGAGCCCTGGTACAAAGTGAGTTTGGCATCCTCTAGGAATAGATTTTCTGGGCGCATAACTTAGAGATTTAACAAAAAAGAAAACACCGTAATTTTCTGTGAAAAATGTGAAAAGTTTAAGTGAAAAATGAATCATAATTTGGGTTCTTTCAACCGGTAGGTTTTTTTTCAACAGTTTGCTTATTAGATTACATCGTGCAATGTTCACAAGAGTTAATAACATTCCAAAATTCAGATTTCTCTTTTTTGAACGAAATTTATTCCATTTTTCAAAAGTGTCATTCTAAGATAGTGTATTTTACAAAAGATTGTGCTGCTGCTCAATGGCAAATTAATTGTGACTTACACCATTCTGGAGAACAAATAATTATTCATGAAAACAAAGACATGTTGAAGTCTACAGTGTAAATATGTATAATGCAGAAGCCTCGTGTTTAATTTAAATGGAGAGATAGAATAATTCTATTTGGAAATCGTAAATCTGGAAGACCAACAGCATTGTAAAAATCAAAAATATAATTTGGTCCTCAAACATTTTAAGTAGGAAAGGGTTATGCATTCTGACCTTATTAATCACATGTGCTATAAAAACCATTGTATACAAAAGTATATAAAAGATAACTTTTGAAGTCATGCTTAACATATTCAAAACATAGAAAAACGTGTTTTAGAAAATATTAACGAATTATATTATTACAATGCTTTGAAATTAAAATGAACTCTGAAAAATACAGATTGTAAACACTTCATTACATTAGATTAAATTAATTTTTCTATTACTTTTTAAAACTTAATTTCTTTCTATACAATACTATGGGCAACAAACTATCTCCAACAGAACATAATGACCTGATAGCATCTGTTCACCAGATACCCCTGTTATACTGTAATTCGTATGACACCTTGTGTTTTAATAAATTGTATATACCATTTCCAAAGACACTTCGGGGAATTGCCAGACACATATATACATATTTCTTGAAAAATAGTTAATTTAATATCCATTAGTACAAGTTAATAATCTAAATATAAAAATTGAAAATATTTTAATGCAACTGTATAAATGGGAAATGACTATAGAAATCAGAGCTAAACTAAGTCTGTCACTGTAAAACTACCATTTTCTTCCCTCCATAATTATACAGAAATATACAGTTGTTACATTTTCTCGAGTTGGATTCTTATCCAATAAAGACTGAAGCATTATATTGGTATAACTCTAGTTTAGCTCCAGCTATTCCAGAAGAAAGTAGTATGTTATCAAATCATGTTAGCAATTCGATTCAACAGCAACTACCAATTTGCCAGTTTTCCGCACTTCCTTTTCTTTCTTCTGAAACTTTTCTTTCTGTTTCTCCAGTTTTTCTTGTGTTTTTTTAATATCTTTAATTTTTTTCTTTATTGTTGATCGGTCATTTTGACTGGATACTCCTAAAGCCTTTAAAAGAAAAGGTATGTTGAGCAGAGCAGAATATAGTAAAAAGAGTGTCTTTTATTGTAGCATTAGTTTTCATAAACAAAACAGTAAAATTTCAAATTTTAAAGTATCTTCCCTTGTATCAGCTACAGCAGAAATAAAAAAGTCTAACTTCTATGGCTTCCTCTACAGAAGCAATTGGCAACATTATTGAAAAGAAGTCATCAATATGTGGAGATATCCAGTTCTTTAGCATCACTCTGGGCTAAATGGCAGGTATGTTAAACATCTGACTGGTATCGGGAAGCTACCAGGTACTGGATGGGGAATAACAGGCTCAGACCTAACCCAAACAGGCTGGAGGAGCTATGGATTCAGAAACTCATGACTTAATGGGGCACCAGGGAGAGAAAACTCACAATCTAGGTGTACTTGACTCACGGCTCTTGCTGGAAAGTGGAGGTCATAGCTTACAAGATTTTTACCCAGTTTTGGTAAAAATTGAATGATTTTACATGGAGTTACAGGTGCCAGAAATTGTTGTTGCTATTTTATGTTATTGTTATTGTTATTATGGTTATAGCTTCTTATTGTATACATCACTAACTCCATTTTAGACAGATCCTATAAACAAACAAATGTAGCAAACCTACTAACATTGTTTGTCATGATGATCTTTGAATCTTTATTGATTCTTTGAAATTCTTAGACGGTTCCAAGTCTAAGTCTGGATTCAACCCCAATGTGTTTCAGTGTAACTAAAATGCGTTGGACTATAGAAAATCTTTTCAGAATCTTTCTCCTAAAAACCGTTAGTTCTATAGAACCTAAAACCCAGTAACCAGTTCTAAACAAGTGTTCATACATTTGTAAATAGCAGCTACTTTTTATTACCATGTACAGACTGCTGCAAATTCTGAAGGTGCTTTCAGAAAATTTATTGTGGCAGAGGATTTTGAAGGGAGAAAAATGGAATATCATTCAGAGAATATGTAAATAAATAGATGTACCAAATGAAGTGTAGCCAATAGAAAACAATTAGGATTCTAACACCTCCTGTCATCAAGATCCTTGGTAGTACAGTGGTTTAAAGCACCCTGTTATTAACACAGCTGCCTGCAATTACTGCAGGTTCGAATCTTACCAGGCTCAAGGTTGACTCAGCCTTCCATCCTTTCTAAGGTAGGTTAAATGAGGACCCAGTTTGTGGGGGCAATAAGCTGACTTTGTATAAATATACAAAAGTATAAAGGCTATTGCTTAACGCATTGTAAGTCGCCCTGAGTCTCCGGAGAAGGGCGGCATATAAATCAAATAAAAAAAAAAAAAAAGATAACTGGCTTACTCTAACAGCAATTTCTGGAATAACTCAACTTTGATAATTATCAAAATTAAAGGAAAACCCATATATACCATGCTGTATTTCTTAAAAAGGATAGATGAAATCACAGTAATGTTCTAAACAGATGTAATATAAATTTTAATCAGCAGGTGGCAACCTCTGATAAGACTATAAACCCATTTTGGCTTTTTTAGCACATTACATCATGCCCTTACAATTCTCTTTCTCAACCCAAATAAAAACTTAAAATGAATTTGGATAATTATAATCCTATACAGTTTAATACTGAATAATCCTCATTGAATGCAATGTGACTTGCTTCTGATAGTCTTGCCTTAGATTGTTTCCTATAATTTAGGAAGAAAATCCTAAAATGGTTTTACAACCATTTTCCTGAAGAAGCCGTTTCCTGAAAAATATAACAATTGGTATGTCTTTATTGCCTAGCAAGCATATGGGTTTGCCTTCCTATAGAATGTACTACATCATTTTTAATCATTTAGGGAAATACAATAGTCAATGTTGTTATTCTGTCACGGAAAGAGTATGTAGAATCTAGAACAAACTGCAAATTAATGTTATAAACTCTAGATAGGAAGGAAGAGTTTAAATATTACTGCATTATACTATAAGTAAAAAATCCATTTAATACAATGCACTGTTACACCCAGGATTTACTAAATATAGTAAAAATGGTATCCTGTTTATATATTTATAAATGGTATAAATTTATATCATTACCTTAAGCACAATACAGATTTACACAGAAACATGTGCTTACCTTCAACTTTTCACTGTCAAGCAGCATTAACTGCTGTCCATCAACATTCTTGGTGGTGAATTCCGAGATGTACTGCTCCATGTTCATTCCCATTAGCCAGTGGCAGACCTGTTGTGTAGTCCATTCAGAAATGGGCCTGTTGTGCCACTGGTTTTGTTTTCCAGTAGCTGAAGGTTCATCATCTATGGTCTGATTGAGTAAAATCAAATTGATCAATTTTCCCCAATAAACAGTAGTTTAATTTTATTGACTTTAAAACACAAAAATAACTAACATTTCCAGTGTTTTAAAATCTTAGAAGGCTTTCACAATGGACTTCAAGTTAAGATTTTAAAACATACCTGTGTCAAAAC